ATGAGGAACTAAACAATTTTAAAAGAAATGATGTTTGGAAACTAGTTCCTAGACCTAACAATGCTAGTGTTATTGGAACAAAATGGATTTTTAGAAACAAACTTGATGAACATGACATTGTTACTAGAAATAAAGCTCGTTTGATTGCCCAATGATACAATCAAGAGGAGGGCATAGACTATGATGAAACATTTGCACCGGTTGTAAGGTTAGAATCAATTAGGATGTTTTTGGCATTTGCAAGCTTTAAAGATTTCAAATTATTTCAAATGGATGTTAAAAGTGCCTTTTTAAATGGTTTTATAGAGGAGGAAGTATATGTTGAGCAACCCCCCGGTTTTATAGATCATGTTTTTCCTAATCATGTTTATCGGGTTCAAAAAGCTTTATATGGGTTGAAACAAGCTCCTAGAGCTTGGTATGCTCGCCTCTCTAGTTTTCTTGTTGAAAATGGTTTTTCAAAAGGAACAATTGATAACACTCTTTTTGTGAGAAAAATGAAAAATGATTTCATTTTAGTTCAAATATATGTTGATGATATCATTTTTGGTGCTACTAATGAATCTTTGTGCAAGGAATTTTCTAAAGTTATGCAAGATCATTTTGAGATGAGTATGATGGGAGAGCTTACATTCTTTCTCGGGCTCCAAGTCAAACAAACTAAGTAAGGGATATTCATTTCTCAAAGTAAGTATGCTAAGGAATTGGTGAAGAAATTTAATTTGGAGAATTCTAAGCATGCGCCTACTCCCATGAGTACAAGTGTAAAGCTTGATGCGGATGAAAATGGTGAGGACGTGGACCAAAAACTATACCGAGGTATGATAGGTAGTCTTCTTTATCTCACCGCTAGTTGACCTGATATCATGTTTAGTGTGTGTGCATGTGCACGTTTTCAAGCTTCTCCTAAAGAATCTCATTTAATTGCGGTTAAAAGAATCATTAAGTATGTTAATGGAACTTTTAATCTTGGTTTATTTTATCCAAAGAGCACCTCTTTTAATTTATATGGTTTTTGTGATGCCGACTTTGCCGGATGTAAGATAGACCGCAAGAGTACGAGTGGAACATGCCAATTCTTAGGAAATTCACTTGTTTCTTGGGCTTCCAAGAAACAAAATTATGTTGCATTGTCCACTACGGAAGCGGAATACATTACCGTCGGCTTATGTTGTGCTCAAGTTTTGTGGATGAAACAAAGCTTGGTTGACTATGATTTGAATTTTCAAAATATAAAAATCTTTTGTGATAACACTAGTGCTATCAATATTTCAAAAAATTCGGTTTTACATTCTAGAACCAAGCATATTGATGTGCGCCATCATTTCTTACGCGATCATATAGAGAGACAAGATGTATCCCTTGTGTTTGTTGACACAAAAATCTCAATTAGCGGATATATTTACCAAGCCTCTTGGTGAAGATAATTTTTGTCGCATAAGAAATGGTTTGGGCTTATGCAATATGTGAAAGTTCTATTTGCTTGCTTGTTTAGTTGCATTTCACATGTATTTTTCTTTTTTTTTACCCTATTTTGATGGTGACAAAGGGGGAGAGAAATCTCCTCATTTGTGCACATAGTAAGGGGGAGCTCATAGATAGGGGGAGCTACTATCTATAAGCTACATTTATTTTTACTCTTATATAATGGTTGGTTGTCATCATCAAAAAGGGGAAGATTGTTAGTCCTTACGTTTTGATGATGTTTTACAACCACCATTATCGGTACTAATTGTTTATTGAGTAAAAATATAGTGAATACATATATCAAGCATATTAGTACCATAAATGGAGGATTGGATGGAATATGCGCTACAACGATGATATCCAAAGGAGGAGGAGGCATAGTGATGAAGCAACGTTCATTCAAGAACACTAAATACAATAAGAAGCTTCATCCGATTCAAGCTATATCAAGACTCAAGAATTGTATTCTACGTGAGGATATTAGCTAGTTTTTTATTTTCTCTCTAGTGCTAGAATGTAGGCAAATAGTTTAGATTTCATCTGAAGCTATTGGGATATCAACACACACGTTTTTATAGTTTTGAACGCATTTCACAAAATACTATTTTTCATAAGTATGAAGACCTATTTGCAAAATTTCTTTTCCAAACAATTTTTTTTTAGTATTAAAAATATTTTATAAAGTTTTACAATTTTCAGAGGTCAAATGAATATTTTATAAATATTTTAAGTAAGTCAAAAATTAGTTTTTGAGTGTATCAGATTGCGGTTGACCGCCACGGTCGACCGCGCCTGAGCTCACTCGTCAGTGGCAAACAGAAACTTTCACGGTTGACCGCTGCGGTCGACCGCGGGTCGACCGCGAAAGTCTCTGGACTTTTGGTAAGTTTCTGACCTGCCTCGCAGTCGACCGCGAAAAAGTCACGGTCGACTACCAAGTTTTTTCAACGGTCTTTTGCCTAGGGTTCTTGTGCCGACTGTACACAATCTTTGCACAATCTGTTGCAAGATTGTTTCTAGTTTAAGGAGATTAGGTTACGATTTTGAAATAGCTGGTTTCTCCTATTTAAACCCATACCCTTCTTCTTCCTCAGTGTCCCAGCTCTTTCAAACATTTTCAGAGAACGTTTTTACAAAGCAAAATTTTCAAACCTGTTTCCTTCTGAGTTTCTTTGTGTTTCACATCCCAGCTTCAGTGTTATCTTCTCTTTGCCATAGGGACATTATAAAGAGAGGATTCTTACACCATTTCTATTATTTTGAGAGCTTGATCTTGTGTAGATCAATTGTGTGGGAGTGTGATCTAGTGAGATCAACTGTGTAGTGTGAGATCGTGAGGGGATCGCTGTGTAGACGAAGTTCCGGCTTCCAAACCGGGTTGTGTAGTGGATTTTTCCTCGAGAGTGGGGAGCAGGGACGTAGGTCAGCGGACCGAACCTCGTTAACACATCGCGCGTCACAGGATAACGATTCCTAACCCTATCTCCTCTATTTTGATTGCATTTGGATATTGTGTTTTGCTTGTCTTAATTTTATTGCATAATTATAGCCTCGTGACCCTAATTACCCCCCCCCCCGGTCCAACAATTGGTATCAGAGCTTGGTCTCTATATTAGTTTTTGGTTTAAAATCTAGTTTGGGTCAAAACCCAGACCAACCCACACTAGGCGAGCCCAACCCGACCGATACTAGAGATGGGTCATGGTTTGGGCTAGGTTTTGAGTCAAATACGGAACCAAAGAGGCATGCCCAACCCACTGTAAGCTCGGCCCGGCCCGACCGGACTCAACTCAAGTTTAATACGAATGTTAAATTTTTTAACATTATAATTTAAATTTAAACTAAATGAAAGTTACTAACTTCTCATAGATACAGATCTTTCTTTACAGTTTGAACCACCTATATTTGTATGTTTGCGATATTTTTCTATGTGATGTTTATCTTTGTGCAACACACACACACTTAAATAAAGAGTTTGAAATATGGGAAAAAAAATAAAATAAACATAATTTTGTAAATATAAATACAAGTTTAGTATATTTTAAATAGGAAAACATCGAAAAAAGTTAAAAGAAAGGAACCTAGGAACCGACCCACAACCAATGGGTCGTGGGCCAGTTCCAGCCCGACCAGCTCCTAAACGAGTCATGGGTCGGGATAAGTCCAATCACAGACCTAAGATCAAAGAGGCAAGTCCGGCCCACTCTGGCCCGTGTAGGTCGGGTCAAACCCAACCAGAGCCCCACCCACTCTAACCTGTGTGGGTCCGGGTCAGACCAGGCCAG